GTGGATGAAGCTTGGAAATATTAAGCTAAGCAAAGAAGCCAAAGGACCATATATTGTATGACTCCATTTTAATGAAATATCCAGAAGAGGCAAATCCATGGAGACAGAAAGTGGATTAGTTGTTGCCTCTAACTGGGGATGAAGTTAAAGAGAAAAGGGAAGTGATTACTAAAGTCATGGGATTTCTTTGGGGTGTGATTAAAATGTTTTAAGCTTATAGTGATGGTTGCATAACTAAAAACCATCGAATTTTCCCCTAAACATGGGTGCATTGTATGGTATCTGAATTATATCTTAATAAAGCTGTCATAAATGTACACAAACCACATAATGACTTAGCTCAAAATTAAGTGTGGGAGGCTTAGCCCATGGCTGCAGTGTCACTGGGCTTTTCCTACAGTGACTTTCCCTCCAGCCTTTTTTTTTTCTCTTTCAGGTATAAAGATAGTCCTGTAGTGTGTAGAAAGAAACCCTCTGGAGATGGGAGTGGGGTGGGGAGAGGAGTTTCTTTATGTCTCATAAAATAGACATTAGAATAATTAAGGAAGTTCTGAAGTCAAGACAGGAGGAACCAGAGTAACTGTAGTGCTCACTAGCTGCCAGGTCCAGGTGACATGCTGGGGTGAGGGGCTTCACATGTCCAAGCCTTCACCCCAGGGCTGTGGCAAGGAAATTTGGAGAAAACAATGGGCAGAGAGTGGTGACTGTGTGAATTGTGACCTCAGAACCTGCACTTGTGTCATTTGTGGATGGTTTGTTGGGGCCAGAGGCCAGGAAGCCTGATCCAGAGAAGAAGGAGCAGGTTTTTCTGGTTCTGCTCTGAAAGTCATTAGTTTTGTGGCCACGGGCAAGTCACATTCTCACTGAACTTTGTTTCTCCTATCCATTAAGTGGGGGTATTGATTTAAAAAAAATATTCAGGATGTAGAAAATAAGGCCAATGGATGCTGCAGGTTTATACTGGAGGTTTGGTAACTGGAGTTTTTCTCCCCTCAGGAAATGCACTATGTATTCCTGGTTAGAGCAAACTTAGATGTTAGAGCAAACTTAGATGTTTACTAGTTTATCAGTTGCAGGTTACTTTTTTCCTAGAGATGCAACAGTATTTCTTATGATAGAAAAACAAACAAAAACCCAGTGGTTACAGTATTACTGGCCTACAGGATAGTAAACAGTTTGCACCTAACTGAGCAAAGTTTAAAACATTCCCTTCCTGACTATGTAAATCGCTGCCCCTTAAATGCTCTCGGAAGGCAGCTGTAATTTTTCTGCTTCCTTCATTAGTGGCACATGTTTGATTTATATTGTATGTGGGTTGTATTTCTAGGTGTTTGAAAATTGTATTTTGTTAGTATTATTGCCTCTCCTATTGATCTCACAGGGTGGGTGGGATCACAGAGAACAGATATAAAAATGCTTTGTTCCCTACTTTACACTGTAACCATGTTACTTGGAACACTAGGTGGGTGGAATACAATTTCTTTGTCTCATCACAGGAGATGTGAATTTTTCTGGGCAAGAAAGCACTTTCAGTTTCCTTGAGGATTTCTGTTCCACCCCACTGTTCCTTAGAAAGCTGCAGGGAGGAGTGGGCTCACCTTGGAGGCGGATCCTGATGGCATTAACTTCTGCCTAGTTTCACTCCAGCTCTGCCACCTTGGCATTGGCTTCTACTAAGCTATCTTCCAGCTTCTGGACATGGGCCTTGGCACTCAACAGCTCAGGAAGAATGAGTCCAGTAGGAAATGGAAAGGCCCAGGCATGGTCCTCTTGCTTGCACTGGGCTACCCCTAATTCTGCCTCCCAGGCTAGAATGTCCCTGTCTCCAAAATTCCCAAAAGCTCACCAATCTACCAACATAAACCCAGAGTCTTTGAGCTGGTTTGTAGCGTCTACTCTCTGGTCTGTTGTCCTTCCATAAGCCTTCAAAGGCCTCGGTGGACCTCACCCAAAAAGAAAGGGCAGTGGGGCAATTTAAGGAAAAGTGTTAGCATTAGAGTAGGGGTCTCCAGATAAAATACGAACCATGAAGATGCCTTCTGACTGTGAAGCTTGGGGACATGAATTGGCTGGAACAGAGATCCTCAAAGCACCATCCCTGTTCTCCTTTGGAGCCTGCCTCCCTTGTTCCCTTGTGTTAGAAGAAAGTTCTTCAGGTGTCAGGTGCTTGGTAAATGCATATTAAATAGCTTTCTTAATTTTCCTTCTCACCATATATTGCTTTCCCATCATGACAGTGTTTGCATTTATCTCGTCTTTCCTAGTCTCCAGCTCCTTGAGTATATAGTCATACTGACATAATGCTAATTGTAATGACTCACTTTTCTTAAGTGCCAGGACTGTTGTAGCCCCCAAGACAGTGCTGCGAGGCAGGGATCATTATTACTCCTGTTTTAGAGATGAGAAAGTTGAGGCACAGTTAGGTTATGAGTCCCAGCCAAGGTTATACACCCAGTCAGCAGGGCCTGTGATGGATTCCCCTTGGTTCCTTTCAAAATGTTGAAAAACATGCCCAAGGCCTGCAGGGGTGAGGGGAGTATTTGGAAAGTTGATTGATGCTGTGGTTTCCCACCACTCCTCCTTGAGGTCCTCCCTCACCTTGGATTTCTGCACAGTTTGCAGGCTGGCATTGAGGTCATCCATCTCAGCCTGCTTGACCTGCTTGTCCTTCTCTAGCTTGTACTTCACCCTCTGAAGGTCCTCCACATGCTCTGTCCGCTCAGCCCTGGAATCCATGTGCTTTCTGTGCAGCATGGAGGCTGTGGCCTTGCTCTGCAGGGCCTCGCTTTCCTCCAGCTCCCGCCGCAGCTTCAACAGTTCAGCCTCCCACGATCTGTTGAGCCTTTTCCACCTCTACTCAGATTTGCTTTCCCTGCTTCCAGTTATCCTCCAGCTGTGGAGACAAGAAAACAAGCGAGAGTAGAGAAGGCATGTGGGGTCAGAATCCAGTAAGGAACCAAGGGGGACCTGACTCTATAACTATGGCATCAGAAAGGCCCTCATGCCCAAGGGGATGTCTTAGTCCCCAGTTCCCAAAATGTATCTGAACATCCTGTGGCCCAGGTCAGACTAGGACCTGGCATGGGAGGTGGGCCCCAGCACAGTGTAGTACCTGTGGATTTGGGCGTTGAGCTCGCACTTACTCTTGGTCAGGCGGTTTGCTTTGTCTTCCTCAGCTTGCAGGTCATCAAGGGTTTGCCGGAAGGAAAGATACACAGGTGTTTCAGGTAGCACTCATGAAACAAAGTCAAATATTAGTCCTAACTGAATGTGTATACATTGGTTAGTCAGTGCAATGTGATGGGAAGCTCACAGTAACACAACCCTGTGCTTCCCTACAAGCAGTGGTTCACTCTTTGCTAATTCAGTACTTGTGATGACTTTATAGGACATAACCACCCTGCCTGAATATGGAGCATTGACTGTTACGAATGGGACTCTAATGTTGAGAATCACAGTCTAAGCTGAGAGTCACATTCTAAGGGGGGTATTTCCAGAGGCAGCAGAGGGAAGGACTTGTTTTAGATTCCTGGTGGCGAGGCTCCGCTGTTTGGTTCTGGCTTTCAGCGCTCCCTTTTCACCTGTGTGCACTGATGGCCAGTCAGAGCTGACTCTGTGCTGGAGCCTAAACCTGAAAAGTAAGGGGTCTCCTCATGATCCCCAAAGGTCTTGCCTATTGTTGCCTCTCTATCAGGGTTTATTTATGCCTTAGAAATCATGGGGCACTTCCACATACCCCACTCAGCCTTACCACTCTGGGGGCCATACCTGCCAGTATGCCAGGACCATCCTGATTCATGACTGCTGCCCTCTTTGACTCTCAAAACTGTCCTAGTTTGGGTTATAAATTAAACAGTCACCCCATTTACAAGAAACCTGGAAGGCGGGTAGTAAGATGTGACTATAACCATTTCACTGATGAGATTTAGGGAGGCTCCTTGACTTTCCTAAGGACCCCAGCTAAGGGAGACAAAGCCAAGATTTAAACTCAGGGCCTCCGGTCTCTAATCTCCACCCACTCCACCCCAGGAGAAGCATGCAGTGCCTACCTGGTGCAGTCCCCCCAGGGCCCTCTTCTCTTTCTGGAATGTGGCACTGGAGTCTTCTCGGAAGGAGAAGTCCCCAGTCAGGTTGTGGACCTTATGATTCAGGGCTTGTAAATTGGGGGAGGAGTCAGATGGACCCTTAAGGCTGGGAACACTTCTTCCATGGGGAGGAAAGAAGGAAGAGGATCTTTCTCTAGGAGAAGGTGCTCAGCTTGGCTACATTCTGAGTCACCCATATGCCTGAGAAGTGCCAATGTCCAGGCCATGTACCAACCAAGTCAGAATCTTGGGGGTGCAGGGAGTGGCAAGAACCCCCAGCTGAAACCTGTGCTACTCAAAGCCTTATCCTTGGAGGTCAGAAGTAGCAAAGCTAGAGGCGCACAGGTGTAGACAGTGAGTCCCTTCCCCGCAGTGGCCCTCACCCTCCTGCAAAGGCAGGAAGGGGATCATGGACCAAGGGCCAGCAGGATGACATCAGGATCCATGGCTCTTTCTGAGCTGCCGAATGGTCAACAATTGCTTGTTTGGGCAGAAATCCACCATAATGTTTGGATTGCCTGTTCCAGGAAGGGGAAAGTGTGGACATGGTGCTGATAAAGAACGTTCTGTGAGAGGGCAGCCAGCCCAGATGCTTGGGAACCAGGCACAAGGAGGCCTCGATGGCCCCATGGTGAGAATAGTGCTCAGGCTTCTTAGCTGCTCAGCCTGATAGAACTTTCTGTAATAACACAGCAGCACTCGCCTGTGTGGCCACTGAGCACTGGACGCAGCAAGGTGGACTGAGGAGCCACATGTTAAGTGAAATAAAAAATAGCCCCGTGATCAGGGCCTGGTGTCCTGGGGCTCCCCGGCCCAGAGAGGAGCATAGTAGCCCAACAGCCTCCTTACTGCTTTTCCTTCTCTGCCTTGGCCAGTGTGGGCTCCAGGCCCTCAAGGTCCCACTTCAGCTCGCTCAGCTCCCCCCCAGCCAGTGCTTGGTGGCACTCAGTGAGGCTGCCATGCCCTCGCTTCCTCTAGCCACTCCTGCATGTCCGAGATCTGGCTCTCCAGCTCCATTTTGGTTTTCATCTTCTGGGTCAGGCGCTCCTCTGCATCATTCAGGTTCTCTAGGTCTTGAGGAAAGAAAGCAAGCCCCAGTCAAAGGCAGGGGTTCAGGCAACTATAGGGGCCCCAAAGACCGTCACCAAGAAGGCAGACTAGCCCGACAGGTCCAAACTAATGTGTCCCAAGAGCAGACGGGGCTGGCTCTAATCTTCCCAGGGTATGTGACAAGGTGTGGAATGTGGTGCCTAGAGCAGCATCTTCAGCAGCAGCATCTCCTGGAAATGCTTAGGAGGGGAAATCTCAGGACCCTCCCAAGAACTGCAGCATCAAATTGGCCTCTTAATGAGATTCCAGATAGTCAGATGCACTTTCAGGTTTTAGCATCAGGGGTCCAGAATGAGTCAAGGGCACTCGGGCACACACACTGTCAGCCCAGGCTCTGCATCTCATTTGCTGAGCCTGGGGTGCTGATGAATTCATCTGTCAGTGGGGAGTGGACTGCTCACCCAAATGACTCGTAGTGTTGATTTAGCACTTCTGTGTTGGCGAATTACTTTCCATCCACATTCCTCACTATAACAACCCTGAGAAGCAAGTCAGGCAGGTGTTACTGTAACTACAAGCTACAGTTTAGAGACGAGGGAACCAGAATGCAGAGGAAGGTGAAATTGCTGAAAGTATACGGGCAGCAACTTGGTGTCCTGGGCATCTACAGGGCTCTCCCCAAGGTGGGGTCAGTGGTGGGGTGAGGTCAGTGGTGTAAGACTACAACTGGCCACAGTCAGAAGGTGGAGCCAGCTGGTGACTTTTAGTACATGACAGACTTTTAGTACATGACACAACTTTGCTGAAATTTAGTTCTTTGAAAAACAAAAAGGGGGATGGAGAAAAAAGGGGAGTTAAGGGGATGGAGACCATGAAGGCACTTCATTACTGTGGTCCTCACTTGGCCTCAGTCTCCCCAAATGTAAAATAAGGGGCTCAACTTGAGCATGTTTGGGGGTATTAAGAGTGTATGGAAAACAACATTAAAAGACAGCTCTGGGGGAAACAGGGATGGTGCAAGCACTAACATGCTCACGGCCTGGAAGGCATGTGTGGACACTTGGGACCCCAATCAGGTTTTAAATGCTTTCTACCTTGTATGAGGCATGTAAAAATCAGGCATCTTGAGGTTGTGAGAAATCCCCTTAGAAAACAAGGAGGGTTTCAGTCTGAGGGGTAATGCAGGGGCTCCCCATGGAAACCAGCCCATTTGTCCCTCCCTGCTGTGTTGCACTTGACTGGCCGGCAAAGGAGGCAAAGAATAGAGGGCCAGTCGCTGAAGGCCCCAGGCAGAGCTCCGCTCATCCCAGGAGAGCCCCTTCACCACGTCTTGTGGCTGCTGTCTCTGGACAATCCCTGCAGGCCCCGTGTGTGCCCAGTCTGCTGTTGTGGGACAATAAGGCTATGATGGCGACTTTTTGGTAGTTGGGTGAAGGATGACATTGCAATGAGGGGAAAGTGAGGGCTGAGAATCCCCAGTGGTGGGAAGGGACGTGGCTTCTCTCCTTCCCTCTCTCTTTTGTAGGTCTGCCTCTTGGACAGTTGCCAAGCTGCCAGCTTCCTCCCTGGCAGGACTTGTATACAGCCCACAGCTGGAATGGTGAGGTCGTTTTCCTGGCTCTTCTGGAGGAGAAGAGTTGGCAGTCTTCTCCTCCAGTTCTTTGACCTTGTTTATCAGCTCTTGTGTCTTGGCATGGCATTTCTCAGTTCCTCCTCCTTGGCCTTCATCTTTTGATGTGCTGCTACATTCAGGAGTAGCTTGACATGGACAGTAAGCACTACCATAGACTGCTGGGTAGGCTTGGCAGTGGTAGGTCTCTGCCTTAGACTCAACCTCACCCTCTTCCTTCATCTCCAAAGTGCCCTCATTTTCAGACATCCCTGCAGCATCCGTAACCTCCCACTCCCAAGAGATACCCCAATACAGGACCGAGACCCCCCAGCCCACAGGTAGCAGCAGTCCCTGACTGTCATGGTATCTCAGCACCCACCTTGTTGTAGAGCTTCCACCAACCCCCAGAACTCAGCTTCAGGAACTTGTGCATGTTCCGCTGGAGGATTTCAGGCCACCTCTGCAGTAGAACCCAGTGTTACAGGGCTTAACATGCAGGTGTCTGGCTGGGTCCCTCCCAGAGAGCAGGGGGCCAAGACACACCACCCAGTCCGTCCGGTATTTCCTCTCCTCTGCTCCCTTCCCAAATCAGCACTAGTCTCTTTCCATGATCTGTGCAGCCTCTGGGTCTACCCCTCCTTGTACCCTGCAGCTTCATTCATCTGTCGCTTGTTGAGGATCTTCTATGTTCCAAGGCCCTGGGTGGGGGCTGACTTTCAGCCCCAACAGGTGTGCCTGCTTTCATGGGGGTCATGGAGAACCTGCTGGCGGGCCTCAGGGCTTCATGATTGTTATTTATCCATCACTGTTACTAATACTATAACCACAAAGAGCTGGTCAGTCATAGACATCCAAGCTATTTTCTAATGGCTATGTGAGGGAAATGGCTGAAAAACATGATTGTGAGGTGGGGTCTGAAGTATGGGTTCCTGGGTCCTCATTCAATTTCTGCAAAAACCTGGCCCAATTCCTTAGTCCTTCTGACCTCAGCTTCCATTTCTGTAGAATGAGGGCGACTCTTGGCACATCCCTGTCACAACATTGCCATCCAGATCAAGTGAGGGGAAGTTTGTGAACATGACTTAAACACTGTTGAGAGAAGGTTATATTAGGTGGTCTCTGTTATGAATTTGTGTTTATCTCCAAAAAATATGCTGAAGTCTTAACCCCCAGTGACTGTCACCTGTAAAGTTGACCTCGTTTAGAAATAAATCTTTGCAGCTGTCATTAGGTTAAGACAAGGCCATCTTGGAGTAGGGTGGGACACTGATCCTAACTGACCAGTGTCCTGGACACAGAGAGAAGGCTTCAGAAGACAGAGGCGGAGATTGGAGCAGTGGCCACAAGCCAAAGAATGGCTGAGGCCAGCAGGATGGAAGCAGCAAGAAAGTAGCCTCTGCTAGAGGCTTCAGAGGGCGCAGGACTCTTCAGCCCCTTTCTTTCAGACTGTGACTTGATCTGTGAGAGAATACATTTCTGTGATTATCAGGCATAGTATGGGATGCTTTGTTGGAGCGGCCCGAGGAGACACGGGCGCTCTCTTCTCCCCTTCCTGCTGCTTGTCACTAATGAGCTGATCACAGTGTGGCGGCGTCTTGGCCATTCTGTGTGTATGTGCAGGGCTTCTGTGGCCTGCCCTTTTGGTGCTTGTGAGTGTTACCTTCAATCCAGCATCTTCTTGAATTCAGTCCAGCATCTTCTTGAATTCAGTCCTCATGAGGAAACCCCGAAGCCGACACTGTCTTTGCAAGACACTTGTCCTGCATGTCCTCGACCTTGGCCAGGATACTTGCTCGAAAGAATACCTGGCACTTCTGAAGTTCTGAAGTCCAGAAGTCTCGTTAAGAGTCAAAAGAGGGCCTTCCCTGGTGGCGCAGCGGGTTAAAGCACTGCACTGAGAAGCTAAAGCCATTTCCGCATGAGTTCGATTCCCGCTTGCCCCGGAGGTGACCACATGGCGTGGCAGACCTCTCCTGGCCCGCCCGCTGCTCCCCTCAGCAGTGTGCTTCCTCGATCTGCCTGTTCTGCTCCCCACTCTGTCTCTGGTGAAGCCTCTCACCGCCCCTGAGCCTCTGACCTGTACCCCAGTTCTGTATGTACAAATAAATAAATCTTTAAAAAAAAAAAGAGTCAAAAGAGCCAGCCTGGGGCTGATATGTGAGCCTCTTGGAAATAGCTGACTCCGCTGGACACCTCCAGTGGACAGACCACTGCCAGCTGCAGTCGCAGCCGCAGCCTCCAGTTCTTCTCCCTCATGGAGTCTCTTCTGGGCTCTAGCCCTGGCCTTGCACTTGCTAGCTAGGAACTTGGACAATTCTCACATCTCAGAACCTTAGTTCCTCATCTCTGAAATGGAGCTGATCCCTCCCCCAGAGGGTGGCTATAAGGATGAAAGAATGAAAGGAGGTTACAAGTGGGTAGGATGGAAAAGAACTTCTGATAACTAGGAAGCTCCAATTGTGATGAGCCATCCTCATCCTTACTGCCATGGCTAGTGCCCAGCAGGCAGAATGCCAAGGGTCCTTCTCTCAAAGCCACCTCAGGACAGTAACTAATCATGGTCACATGGGATCTGGGCATGGGAAGAGGGAAAATGATCGTGGGTGAGTAAACAGGGAGAATTTTATCAGTGCTACACAATTTTGGGCATCCAGCTTTTGTGCGTGATTGGGACTCATCCCAGGAAAACAAGGCTCGCATTGCAATGTAGGTTAGGAGCTGGAGACATCCAACCTCAGAGAAGTGCAAAGCTCCCATTATAAGATGCCTTTCATCCTTCTCTCACCTGCGACACATAAGGTACAGAAGGATGAGGGTCAAGGAGAAGGTGAATTGGTACAGCAGTTCTGGAAATTGGAGCGGCATTTCCTTGTCAAGGTCCGTATTAGTACACCCTGCAACAGCAAACTCCTCCTCAGCTTGTCTCTCTGTCCTGGCTGCACCATGCCCCACCCTGCACTCCCACCTGGCGGGCTTTGGAAAGATGCTGGTGACTGGGCAGAGTGATTTAAATTTCTGGCACAGCTCAGGTATTGTTTTTTCAAAACTCTCCCCAGATGATTCTAATATATAGCAAAGGATGAGAACTTAGTTCTAGAGAAGTTCCTGTCAGGGCTGTGTGCAGGGATGTTCACAGCTGCATTGTTGGTAACTGCAGAAAAGAAGGAGCAACCCTTTCACTATCCAAGGTCAAGAGGAACGAATAAGTGGTGTGGCCAACAAGGATGAATCTGAGAAACATGTTGGCAAGTGACAAACATGTCACGGAAGAACGTATGGAGACTTCATAAAGTTCAAAACCAGGCAAAACCATATGTGTATACAAACCTTTTTTTTTTTTTAAAGGTAAGGGAATATTTAGCATCAAGATTCAGGACAAGGGCTATACCCGGGGGTGTGCGGAAGGAGAAGAAAGGGGTGCAAATATTAAATTCTGGGTTTTAAGTAGGCTTCATGTTGGGATACAGTCTGGAGTCATGTCTACCTCACACCATTGGCCTGGCTGGCCCTTACCATGCCAGCAGGACTCTGCAAGGCCAGGAAGTAGGACAGACACAGATGGCCCAGGCCCCATGAGTCAAGACCAGGAGGCTGCTGCCTATGTCAGCCTGACTCACCTGCCAGCTCAGGGCCCAGGGCTGTCTGTGTGGGTCGGCTGAGATTGTGGTGCTTCACCCCCAACCCCACCCACACACATCCTGCTGGTTAAATCCAGGGACCTTATTCTGATTGACTTTATTCTTAGAAGTCTGGGACTCATGCAGTACTAAGAATATTCTACCATTCATTAGGTATCACTCTGTATGAGTTGGGTTTTCATGCACATTGCTGCTAATCACTCCCCAGTCTCATTAGATTGGCTTTATCAATCCTGATTTTCCAAGGAGGACACTGAGGCTCTCAGCAGCTGAGAGGCGTGCTTAACTCATGCAACTGGTCAACTGCTGATCTGGTACTCACACCTGGAAGCCCATCTTCTTGGGACAGAGCTGAGAGCGGGCAGGGAGGGAGCACCATCAGAAGACCCTAGCCAGTGTGTCCAATTTTGTATTCATTCACATCCAGGTGGATGGACCTGCGCAGCAACTCTGAGGTCTTCTTGTCCACAAAGCCCTGAGGAATGACTTTGGGGTTCAAGACTTGGTACCTGGTAGGAGAGAAATAACACAGTCATTCTTTCTAAGCTGGCAGCCCCTGGTGTGTCAGAGAGCCTGGGAGCAAGGGTGAGACCTGTGTTACAGGTGCTCACAGCACGCAGACAGGTAAACTGACGGGAGGCTTTGGGGAGTGAATGTTGGTAGGGGTCGGTATTTAGAGAGGAGGTGTTGTTAAAAATGAAGACACAAAATAGTTCTCTCCTGATAGAACTGAGAGTAGAAAAAGGAGCACTGGTCCAGGAAGAGGAAATGCACCCATTTTCCAGACCTGTCAGCAGCCCCCTTTGTGAAGTTGGGCACATCCCTCCCCAATTACAGACTTCAGAGGGCTCTACTGACCCTTCCTGCATCATCAATCTATGGCCATATGTTCTAGTGAGTAGGTATGGAGAAGTAAAATCATCCTTAAGGTGGGGTCTTAAGTTTGGGTTGCGCAGAAGCAGTCTCTGAGACAAGGATTCATGTGCAATTTGTTTATTTGGGAGGTGGCAGCATTGAGATGTGGGGTGGGAAGCCAATAAAAGACATGTTATGCAGCCAGTTATCACAATGGGCAACCTGGGCGCCAACTTAAACTTGCTGGGGGACCCTGAGAATGGTGGTGTGCTGTAACTGGCACCCACTAGGTTGCAAGAGCCAACTGTGTGCATCTCTTCGCAGCCCCACATTCAGGGCTGTTACATTGATGGCTCAAAATCAATCTTGGTAGGAATACTTATAGCATGGAAATGGGCAGACCCTGCAAATAATTTTTATTAAGCCTGTAGTGTCTTTTACCAGCACACTGCTGAAAGCTGGTATGGAACACACCTCCAAGTTAGCCCCCAGAGGGCTGAGGGACTGACATGTTTATGCACAGCCATCCTTTGTCCCTGCTGGAAGCCTGCTCCACCTGTTCATTCCTGATACTTTCAGCTTGTCTGGTAGCAAAGCAGGCTCCAGCAGCTAGGGAAAGCCCCCAGGCAAAGAACTAGAGGAGCTGGCAGTTGAGGACTGTGCCAGCATGTACTGAAGTAGTGAGAGTGAAGCAGTACCCCATCATCGCATCTGCAGTGCGACTAATTCTACCAGTCAATCTCTGGAAGTGGAGAACTGTACTCTAGGTAGCAGGGAAATACCACTCACTCTGGGTACTGTAGCCTGTTTGGGAAGCCCTTTCTGCAAATGCAGATGCCTTCCAGGACTCTGTTGCAAGCCAACTGGTGCGTGAACAGGTGGGCATCCACCACACTCAACAAGAGGGAGGCCTCATCCCCTGAGGGCGGCGCACTCAAGGAGGCTGAACTGGGAAGCCATGTCATCAACTCCAGTCTCCTCTTATCAAGATCTAGGGGACCCCAAATCTCCCACCAGTGAGCCAGGGCCCAAAGGCTTTCCTCAGTGTGACTTCTGGCTGGGTGAGCAGCACTCTGCTTTACATAGCAGCCAGAACATGATTGTTGGGGATTCTTTGGTTGCATTCTTTTGCCCCAGTCATCCCTGATGGTTAAATATGGAAGTAATTTGGTACAAACACCAAATCCTGAGCACTCCCAGGAGGGAGAACTCACTGGGGACAAAACAGAGGGCAAAATGGGTGGTGGTGTGGAAGGTGGTCATCAGCTGCTTTAACTGCACCTGGGGCTGGAAGCAAAAGAAAAAGAGTGTTCAATTTGGTGTTGGTGTTGTGAGACCAAACCAATACAAAATAAGTAAACTCTTTATTCAGTTTAATTAATTAAATTCAGTTCTTAAGTCATACCAGCTACTTTTCAAGTACTTACTAGCCATGGTTAGCTATTGGTTGTTTTGTTGATCGGTGGCTGCCAAATTGGGCAGAAGAGAACCTCTCCATCATCTCTGAAAGCTCATTGGATAACAGTGCTCTCAGAAGTCCAGTGACTTGCCTGGTTTGACATGTTTTACAGGAAATGGGATCCCTATGACCCAGCGCTGGCTTTTGTAGAATCTTGGTGGTAGAAAGAACCATTGTGGGGCCTCCCTGGTGGTGCAGATATTAAAGTGCAACACTATGAAGCTCTCTGCAGCCACTGCAGCATACATTTGGTCCCCAGCCAGGGAGGTGACCCCATGGTGTGGCAGACCCCTCCTGGCTCACCCGCTGCTCCCCTCAGCAGTGGATTTCAGTGGATCCTCCTGTTGTGCTCCTCACTCTGTCACTGGTGAATCCTTTCACCCCCTGTACTTCTGGCTGGTAGGCATAAATACATAAAAATAAATCTTTAAAAAAAAAAAAGAACCTTTGTGGGGGTGGGGTGGGGAATGGGATAAAAAAGGGGGGGGGGGGGGAGGGAAGTGCACGGGATTATGGTGATGGCACACGGGTGACTTGGTGATGGGAAACCGTGGGGACTACAATTGAGATGGAAAAAAAATGTAAAAATGTAAAATAAATTGTTATTAAAAAAAAAAAAAGAACCTTTGTCCATGGTTAACCTCCCTACTGGACGGTTGCTGCTCCTCTGCTCTGTCTGCTCTGACCTGGCTCCCTTTGACTTAGGATCCTAGGGAAGTAATAAAACCTTTCATACAACATTTTCCCATTGGCCACCCTTTATCGCTTTGGAAACTGCTTCTACTGATGCCCTAACATTGTCCAGGATACCTGCTAGTCAACTTTAGGACATAAAGCCTTATACACTGATATCTTACTTTGTCATGTTGAGCAAGTCCCATCACCCTGTAGAAGTTAGAGACTGCCATGAAGGAGGACCCTCTTTCCTGCTTCTTGTTTCTAGCTAAAGGAGAGAGAAAAACACAGTTCACATTAGTACCCAGCAAAGGGAGCAAGTAGTCCCATTAATTGCCTTGTGTCAAAGGACATGCATTCTCTGACTTTAAAAAAGGCTATTTTGGGGGACAAGAGGAAGTAGGGCCCTACTCGTGAGCTTTACTGGGGAGTGGGAGAATGAACTGACTGTGGCCTAGTTGTCAAAAGGAGTGCTGTGCTCCCTGGAAAGTCTATAACCTTTGATTTAGGGTTCAATGTGACAAAATGTTCCCATTGCTTGGGAAGAGCCCACAGGCCATCTAGAGAACGAATGTTGGTAGTGAAAATGTCAGCCCTAGGAGATCTGCAATTCTTGCCATGCTGAGTGGCAGTTCCACTGGGCAGCCTCCATTGAGGGAGGAGGAAGAGCTGCCTTTGCATTCCCCACAGACAAGAGAGCATGGAGCATAAAATAAGCAGAGTGTGTGGGTATTAGCTTTTCTAAAGCACCGTTTCCCTATCTGGCATTGAGGTAGACCCAGTGATCAGCTCAGTTAATGGAAACCCCCAGATTGCATCTGCATCTTTTTATTGTAGCATCTTCCATGACCTAAATCATTCATTCATCAAAAGTTGAATAAGAGAGCTTTATATCCTATTCTGGCCACCAAAGGGCATTAGCATAGGAAGACTGGACACAATAAGGTGTCAGCCATACCTGAAGCCTCTTTGAAGAGAAGGGCCAGAATTCCTAGGGTTGATTTCTGGAACAAGCCCACCACTGTTTCATTCAGGGGGGTCTTTGTTCTTCTCCAGCCAGCCTGTCATGTTATAACCCACCTGGGAGGGGGTAAATGCCAGGGTTACCTTTCAGGCCCAACCTTTTCCTTTCAGTCCCATAGCCAGAACCTCTGCCTACAGCTCTGCCCACCAGGACCCCAGGATCCACCTTGAAGCTCTGGCAAAGTCCTTGTCCTGCTGACTTGCCTGGGGTCCTGAGATGTTCATGAACCCCCAGCCTAAGGTGAAGACTTTATCAATGGCTTTCTTGAGCATTTGCAGTTTGCCTGTACAGAATACCTTATCTCAGCATTGCTGACAAACCAGGACTCCTCACTATTGTCTGTCAGGTTGTGACCTTCTCTTCCAGGTCTTGCTTTTCCAACAATTCTAACTTCCCTGGCCCCTGGGTCTTCTTGTACATAGTTGGACTGATATTTTTTCAGGTTTAGTCCTTACTGTTAGTGACTGGCCTTGACCAGTGTTCTCTTGAGCTACACAATGAGCTTTCTACAAGGTTGTCAGGTCTCTTCTTGCTGAGAAGTACACAACCCCTGAGCTGCTGTCTGGTGGAAGTGAGGCTCCATCCATTCAGTACTGGGGGTTCCATGGGTTTAGATAATTGGACAACCACTAATTTCTGTTTCCCATTGATGCTGTGGCCCCAGCTGGAGAAGCAAAGAAGAAGGCGCCTCTCAGAGGGAAGCAGATGAGAGAAGCCCAAGCTTTTGGATTTTCCATCTTCTATAAAGTGTCATTTGTCATCTCTGGGCCATATTGTAGATCTTCTTGGGAGTGCATAGGTCCATTTGACTTTGAATATTCTGTTGCTATAAATTCATAACCCTCTGAGTCTACGTGGGAGATGAGGGGGGAAACACCAGTTCAGCCCGGCCAGCTTTCTCCAGTGTGTCAGCACCATCCACTTTGCAGTAATTGGCATTGTTATGGCTAGATGAGATCATAACCTCCTGACACAGATGCTCAGTCTTTTCTGACAGCTCTGTCCTGAGGCTGATGTTTTCCTGCTCTTAAACCCATAAAAGCTCAACAAACTGGTGGTAACAAGGGTATTGGCATGTATGACAATTCCAAAATTCTAGGAAAAGTAAACAGATTTTATAAGCTGTTTGAATGAATGTTGTCTTCATGATCAGTTACTCAAATAGAACTTGAGAGTCCTGACTGCACTGAATTTCTCTTTCCTAAGGACTACGTTTGTCCTGAGTGACACAGTCACTCTGTAGATGTCACCTTGGTTTAGTGGCTACAAGCTATCAGAGAGATAAGTTACTCAATTGGGAAATAATTAATGGGCTCATAGATTATTTATTTATGCAAATGTCACTTCTGACCATGACCAAAGTTCAGCCATCAAACCATGGACACAGAGGGTGGTGTGGACCTGGCACAAACTGCTGGCTGCTCTCTAGGGGGCATCCTTGGCTGAATTGCTCTGGAGTTTTCAGTGGGAGAAGTGATGAGAAAACATTTCAACTGTGGCCGTGTGGAGGCAGGAGGCTGGGAAGGGTGTCTCAGGAGTGGGCCACACCAGCAGGTGGCTACAGGAGGGGGAGTGCTGAAGGGGTTCTCACGGGGCTGGCATAGTGGATAAGCTCGAAGTGGGCCTCGGGCCTCTTCCCTCCTTGGGCTTGAGGAAGTTGTTGGACTTGCCCAGGTGGTTATTATACAGGACCACCTTGAGCATGGCGTCAGTGGCTTTGGGAAAGGCACACTGTTCCTCTGAGATGGAGAAGATGCCCATGGGCTAGAAGGAAAGAGGAATGGGTGCCACTAGGGGAGGCCACGGACCTCAAAGAAGCCACTATGGCATTATTCTGGGAGCAGAGTGCCCCACACATGCGGCCAGCCAGGAAGCAGAAAGTCATGTCCATTTAGACTCCAAAGAAGCTAGAATTCATCATGTCCAATGGAGGGGAAGGCAGGAGCCTGAAGGGACCAGGAGTCCCAAATGCTAACCTCACCTACACAATGGCTCTCAGAAAAACCGAGAAGTCAGTGATGCCTGTTCCCTTCTCCGGTTATTATCTTTATTTGCTTCTCCTCAGTGACATTCCTGACCACCTAGGAGCTCTATGCAGCTTTTCTTACAAAAATGTGAGCTCAGAAATGCTGTTCATGGCTTAATATGTCTCCGGAAGAAGGCAATCCTTAACCTCAAAGCTCAAGCAGGAGGACATTTCAGGCTCTGTGACTGCTGGACAGAGAGGTAATTGTTGGTGTTGGGGGGCTGGGGGAGTTGTGTACACAGCCTGTGTTTGGGCACCCCATTTTCCTGGGAACTTTAGGCTGAGCCCGCTCAGAGACCCCTGGCTGCCTCCATGATAAGATTTTCTGGCTGCTTGGAGTCAAGCCTTAAGGACAAAATATATTATTTTATTTTTTAAGTTTTCTTTGAAATAATTTCAGGTTTGCAAAAATACTGCACAGACAGTGCAAAGTTCCTATACACCCTTCATCTGACATCTCCAAATGTTAACAGAACCACTGTACAGTAATGAAAATGGGAAATTAACATTGAGGCAATGCTGCAGACAGACTTTGTTTAAATTTGTTCATCTGTCTCATCAGTGCCTTTTCCCTATTCCTTTCCTTCATTTAATCAACAATGTATATTCTAGTCCACTTGCTAACACATTCTCTATGGTGTGATTAGAGGGGAGGCTATTAGCTTGGGATTAGAATCTCATTCTGTCACTCACAGGTTGCATGACCTTGGAGCAGTGACTTCTCTTCTCTGTGTGTCATTGTCCCCATCTGAGAAATGGTTATAACAAATCATCCCCCACATGTGGTCACTTGTAATGATCCAGTGAGCTGAGGCACATAGCAGCCCACCTAGCCATAGCCACTGAGGTTGCTGCTGCGACAGTGCGACAGTTTTGCATAGAGGAAGCTAGAGGTCACACCAACCAAGATAATCAGTGGTGCTGCTGATCTCTCTACATCCAGGCACCACCTCCCTGAAGGCCCCTGTGAAATGCCCAGCCTTCCTCAGGGAATCAGTTTACCTTTTCCAGAAGGTCGATACAGGCTATAGGTCAAGACCGAAGTCAGTGAAGACCCAGTCGATGTTCTCCCCCTCATATTCTTCCTGCTCCAGCACAAACATGAGGTGGTTGAAGAACTGCTGCAGCTTCTCACTGGTGAAGTTGATGCACAGCTGCTCAAAGTTGTGGAGCTGTGGCAGGGTTGAGGGGGCTCCGAAAGAGAGGCCTCAGAAGGGATTTGGGGTGGAGACTCTCCCAGGACCCTGTGACAAGCCAGTTGCAGCAGGTGCAGTTCAGGCCTGCACACCAACCTCCCCACCAGGGCCCATGGAGAAGCAGCTCGCCAGCCCCCTCCTCCACACAGGCACAGAGCAGTTGGAGCACTGCCCCAGCCACACAGTGCTGACCCAGACCTGAAGCCAGACCCCCAGACTCCCACCCTGGGTGCTTAATGCAAATCATCCTGAAAACAACAACACTTTTTCGCCCCCAGGAAAAGAAATCACTTGTGCTTTGTGGGTCTGACTCACTGTGTGCCTTTGGGCAGTCCCTCTCATCCTCATCCACAGATTGAAAGGGTGAAGTGGTAGGTCTACAAGGCTCCTTTTTTTTTTTTTTAAGTTAGAGACTACTTTCCCTGAATAAACCCCATTCTGAAGCCTCACATGAAAACAGGTGAAGCAGAAGTGTCAGTATAATCACAGTTTTCATTGAGCACCTGCCTGTGCCAGATCCTGGGCTAAGCTGAATCAGCTCAAAACACCTTTCTTGGCAAGAATGATTAAATGTCCCCACTTATACTTGGGAAACAGGCACATAGCGTCAAAATGGCAAGCAAGGACTTGAACCCTGTCTGTCTGTTGTACTGCACTCTGCTGCTGACCATGGTTCCCTCATCCCAGCCCTGCTAGCCATCGGTGGTTGCCTGGGATTCCAGAGCACAGGTTTCTTTCGCCGATAAGATCAGATGATTCTGTTGTAGACATAGGCCAAATAGCCTTTTAGAACCTGAAAGGAACTGGTCTAAGCTTATTTTTAGAAATTCTTGTGTGGCTAGTAGAAGCCACACTAGTAGTAGGAGCTGAAAAGTACCGTGGCGACCATCTGTCAGCCTGTTTATTTTAGAGTTGTAAAGACAGGCTCAGAGAGGGGTAGTCACTTTACTAAAGCTACACAGCCAATGGCAGCCAAACTGAGTCCAGAATCAAGTCTATTGACTCCTAATCCTGCTGCTTCTGATCGTGAAGATAAACTTCCTTACCCACAGCAGTAATCTTATGATAAGACCTGAGTCTCATTTGTGTAGGCAAGTCTTGGGAGGTTATCAGTGTTTGGCTGGGAAATGAGTTTTCTCTCTTAAAAAAACTTGGATTTGTTGTGTTGGTCAATTTCCATGGTGTAAATACTGTATCAACATGATCACATTGGGCTAACAAAATTCCTAAAAATTTAACAATCAACTCTTGTGACATGGCATTATACAAGTAGGACTTTCTGGGGTTTAAAAGTCAGAGTGTAGCAACAAACCATGATAAGCCCATCCTGGTCCAAGATGAGAAATATGAGAACCCTGGTGAAAAGTAGCTTATTATACAAGAAGGATGGCCACCCCAAAGCAGGCATAGGCACACCTCAGAAACTTCAATGCCAGTGATGCCCAGCACCCTGAGGAAGAACTGCCTCTGCATCTTGGCGTCCAGGGTTTTGCTGATCCACACCACCAGCCACTTGGACATCATGTCGTAGATGGCCTTACCAGAGCCCCACTGGAGTTGCTGCGCTCTTCAGTGTCCTGGCCCTTTTGCACAAGCTCATTGCCTATTTTGACCTGGGGCCGGCTGATGCCTTCTGGAGTTCTCCAGAATTGAGACCCCATGAGATGGGCAACTTTGTTAGCTGCTGAGTAGGGATGGAAACAGCAGATGAGTGGAAGAAAGATGGTGTCCTGCCCAGGAGAAGCACAGCACCATCTACTGTGTGTAGGGAAGGAAGTGGGGTGGGGTGGAGGAGACCTCCTTCTGCCAGTGAGAAAACAGATGTCTGTGGTGGTTTCCACACTTGCTCAAGGTCAAGTATAGACCCCAAAGCGGAGTACAGACACCAAAACCATGTCTCTGACTGTCTGGCTTGTCTCTCTGAGAATATGGAAGTCTGGGTATGGGCCATTTCTGGTTTGCAGCCTCTATGGAGCCTGGTGTGTCTGAAATGTGCACAAAGCCCTGGAGAGCAATCAACCCTAGACACTGGCTGCCTCCTCTAGAATGGTCCTGACCTAACACTCCTCTCTGGTGTCTACCTCAGCTTGTTTCTCTCTGGACTTCTCCTGGAAGTTCATGTTGCCAAAGTGCATGATGCCCCCAGTCAGCTTGTACCCTCTGGTCTTCTCCTCAGGACTGAAGCCCAGTACATCCTGCTCAGCCCACTTGCTGCCCACAGACTTCCATACAATGTCCCATCAAAATTTAAAAAGGTTTAATTATAAGTATATGACACTGGGCTGATTACATATATACAAACTGAGGGACAGAAGGGACACTTACGTGACTAGCATAGACTGGTTTTTGCTTTCTATTGGGAAGAAAACAGCATCAGGAAGCCATAATTAGGAAATCTTCGAAACTGGGTATTTGACATCATCTTTCCAAACCATCCACAGCTCCCTAGTTCCTACCCAGCTTGGAGAGTGACTGTAACAGCTATCGCTGGTCAAGAACACAAGGATCTTGTGGGGTCCATGGTTACCTGCAAGTAACACTATTAATGAAAAGGCCAAGAATTGGCTGAGATCTCTGTTCCTACCACCCCCACCTTGATTGTTACCACTGGTATTGATAACATAAAAAGAAATCGTAATAAAATCATTTCACAGGACTCTAGGCCCTGTGACAGAAATCATTCAGGGAATAGTTCATTGTTAACCTGACTTACTTAACTTGACCTCCCATGTTTTTGTGAGACAGGGTGTGAGGTAAGGCAAATGCCCAATGCGCTCACTCAACATTTATCTAAGAACTTCAACTGGAGGTGGGCAGGGGGTGGGGGAGGTGTCCGTGCTGGGAGTGGGCTGCACCTAGTTCTAAAGCCTTTGGGGCTGCAAGGGCAAGGAATTTCTGTGGCCCAGTGTCTAAATTGGCATTGTCAGAGGGGGGGAAGAGGTGGGCGGCATCTACGTGGGCTTCTTGCCCTTGTGCATGTTGGCCACTCTGGCCCCGAGATGGGCAGCTACCTGTAAGGGCTGACCAGCACACAGAACAAGCCTGATAAGGTCTTGAGGGGAAGGAAAGAAAATGGCCCTTTCTGAAGCCCCAGCCAGTAACAGGGAGCCTGGCTGGAGGTCAGGGGGGTTGAATCTGAGTCTATTCAGTAAGCAAGACCAGTCCTCCCTTTGACATGTTTTTGTTTCATTGACTTTCAGTTTAGTTATTTGAATAGATAACACAGTTGCTGTCCAGCAGCTACTCAGCAAAATGCCCCCTGCCCCCCACCTCCCAGGTATAGGACCTGCCCCTCCTCCCACAGGGAATACCTGGTTTCCTGGGCCTCCTCTCAAGTGGTAGCTGATGCGTATAAAAACAAATCCAGAGACTTGTTCGTATGTCCTCACCTACCCGCCTTGGTTTTAAAACAAAATATAGTGTTCAGTAATACTGCTTAATACCTCGCTTTTTGCACTTAATATGTCAGAGATTTTCCGTGAGTGCTCACAGAGAGATTTCTGGGGTGTTTTAACAGCTGCAGAGCCCTCCCTTTGTGGCCACACACAACCCCCTACTGGTGGGCAGCTGGGTTTGATTGATCTGCTCTTAAGACTCCAGCTTCGCTTTTCACTTCAAGGTAAGTTTATGATGAAATGGTCCCATTAAAAATCAGAAAAATCAATGCAGAAGTAAAAGAAAGTTACTGAGGAGAGAGTGCATGGGGCAGAAATGGCCAAATCGATGGGTCCCCAGCTGTGGGTCTGAAGTTTTCCTTGTCCTTGCTGGACACTCATGTTGACCTCTGATGCCCCCAACCTGTACCACTTTTCAATTCAACTTTAAAATTTACACTTTGGTTCAAGTGAGAAAAAACACTCTGCCCACCCACACCCCCTGCTTCTCTTAGAAGAGCTGTAATATGTTGAATTTTTAAAAGGAACCTGATTATATAGAAAGCAATCCAGAGGAAGAGGAGCAAAGAGAAAATAAAGAGAACCCACTTAAAGAGCTGAGAGCGTGACACACAGTGTTTCATCCCAGGGTGCCAGCCACTGAGTCACCCTTTCCCTTCAGCCCTGTCTGTGGGCCTTGGTGTGGGGCAGACAAGTGCCCAGAAACCAGTTAAGTCCCTGTTTTGGTCAGAATAGAAGGAAAGGCTTCGTTCCTCTGCCTCCCACCACAGCCACAACCATTGCAGAAGGGACCCTACAGGCAAGCAGTGGGTTGTGGAGCAGCCCCAGCCCATCAGAGGGGTCAACTGGTGGATCCTCTGATGGAAGAGGGGACTTCCTATGCTGACTCTCGGGCTGCACTCCACAGAGCCTCAGTCCCTTGGCTAAAGACATGGTGTGGCCTTTCCTGAGAGGATGGCCAGGGCTGCAGAGGGACCCTGAGCAAACACCAGCCTGAGCTTGGTCATGGAGTACAGACAGCCCAGGCTCCAAACGCAGCTAGGGCAGAGGTGATTCTTCCCAGACTGAGGCTGGTGATGCTCCCACTAGCTTGCAGGCCCAGGAAATATCCCCAAGAGTTTCTAGAGACTTTCTAGGCACCTTCTGGGGCCATTGTGCTGCTGGGGGCCTAAATATGGGGTAAAAGTGGCATTTAAGTAGGATGAGGAGAGGAAGCTGCAGTTGTCACCATTGTCTGAGGAGGGAAATCTGCAATGGCTGCTGGCCTTGGAAGCAGCCCTACTTCACCTTTGCCTGTCAGTAAGCATCTTTCCAGGATGCTGGCCTTGTTCAAGAAGGTCATGTCCACCATATTGTTGGCCTGGTAGAATTTGGGTGGCTTCATCTGCTGGATGTCATCCTTTATGGTGACAGTCTCTAGGGTGGTGCACAACAGCAGTAAGGAATACTACTGTCACAGCCATGGCAGTGTCTGACACACTCTGGGGTCCTGGAAGGGACTGGAGTCTGATGTTCCATGAGCCCACTTCCTGGGCCAGCCAAGTTCCACCATGCAACTTGGGATGGGAAAGGGCTTTGGAGGCCATTTGAGGCTTAAGTGCCTTCCCTCTGAAGCAGGGATGACAAGGGCTTCCTTGGCTGGTTTCTGGGAGAATTATGTGAACTGCAGTGGGATCTTGTTAAAATACCTCCTAAACTACAAAGACTCCTCGCTGTGTTCCCAAGTGCCTCTGACCCATGCTTCTCTTCTCCAAAGTCCTTTTGATCCCAGAGACATTTTGCAGAGATGTGACTCTTGCCTCTCTGTCTTGGGAGTTAGTGGTAATTTCTAAATAGCAGTTCACTTTCCAATAAAAATAAATTCCCAACTGGGAAGCTACATGCAAAAAAATGAAACTAGATCACTGCCTTACTCCAGTCACAAAAATCAACTCGAAGTGGATTAAAGACCTAGACATAAGAATGGAAACCATAAAATACCTAGAAGCAAAGATGGGTCAAACACTACAC